TCTTAGATAGTCTTATCAGGTTAATATATAATACTAGAACATCTCATTCACGTAATTCACGTTATGTAAACCCTGGATAGGGTAGAACACACGTTTCCAAAGCGATTAAAACCAGGATGAGGGAGAGCATGTTCTACCTTCTTGCTCAAACACTATTTTTTTTTTAGGGGGGTAGGTGAGATCAGAAGAGCAAAGGGTGGGATTAAGAAGGACGATGGAAAAGTCAGGGGAGATTAAGATACATAACGAGGAATGGATTACTTTGTACAAAGACATGCAAAAACACTCCAAATTGAGTACTAGATTAAAAAAAAAACAACAGCCTTGGTTTATACATCTCAAGTGAACCTATTAACTCAGCACATTGTCTGGGAGTTCAAGAGCATCACACCTCATGAACCGATGCTTCTCACAGTGGCTACAGCACTGATTCACAAGTAGGGTAGGGGATGCTTTGTCTCCTAGCATGGAAAAGGCAGGCAGTGAGGCTCCCACTGAAACAGTGCCAGCTCAGTTCACCTTGCAGGGACTGGAGCTTTCTCCCTGTCTTTTGAGAAACATATCCAGGGCCAGATGAATGGAGCTCTCTCACACACCCAGGGTCTCCCTAGAGTCACCTCTCAGTCCTTGCATTCCATGACAGAAGTGGGCAGAGCCAGTGAATAATTGATGGATTTGCCATCTTAGCTGTGCATTATCTCAACATCACATTTGGCAACAGGAAGCCTTATAAAATCTTGGTATAGCACTTAGATACTCTCTCTTCAAGAAATATACTTTTAATACTATCTACTTCTCTCCATTTTTCTTAAAATACCTCTTTCTGCTCTTCCTTCCCTTCAAAGATTTTAAAAAAAGAAAAAAGTGTAACAAAGCATTAAAAAAAAAACTATGACAAGTGTCCTTAAGCATCCCTGTGTTAAGGGGTGAAAGCTAATATCGGTGAGCAGACTTGTGCAATTTTGGCAACTGGGTTTTCAATTAAGATCCTATTAAGATGTCTGATAAACGATTGTAATATACACACACTGCGGAACTGAAGAAGTATTAAGTCGACTACCTGCCTTTTCTCTGACCCAAGAATCCTTGCTCAAAGTGCTTTTCTTCCGAGTCCTCAGACTGGTTCATGAAATGATGTAGCACAGATTTGTCAACATAGATCTGTTACATTGCCTATCCCTAAATCTGTTGCTTTCCTCACCTTGCTAAAGTTCCCATGGAAGATGATACCAATACCTGCATATATCTTTTCTGGTTCGTATCTTGTTGAAATGGGACTGTTTGTAATGGGGACAGCTATCGTCTGTGAGACCCGCTGCGGGAAGGTTGGAAGGAAGCATGACATCCTTTACTTCCAGAAAGAAGATGTGCGAAAGATCTTGCATCTCTTTTAGTCACTACCTACCACTTTTAACCATCATTTGAGTACTTCAGTATACAAAAATAGCAGCTAATCCTGACACATTGTTTGGGCTCAAGACATTTTGGAATGTAACATTTTCATGTATTCTTCCTTTGTACTTTTGGTCCCCCGTCACTCGATTTTCTAAAGCTCACTGTACTTGTACTTACCAAACTTCTTCAAAGTGTAGAATTTACCTTTTACCCAGAGGGTGGTCCTCGTTTTAATGATTAAAGTCCAAAGCCTGGTGCCATTTTTTTTTAGATTGTCGGTCCAGTTGGACAAAATAAGTTAATCTATCATGTTACACTATGGATTTGGAGGGGTCATTGAAAGACACATTTGTACATCTAGATCAATGATTCGATGGCACAGATAAGAAAAAGAAAACTACCATGCATAACCAGTTTATAACGTGCACTTTTTGAAGGGGAAGAAAAACATTTTAATCTTTTCCTTACAGATTGGGGGCAATATAATCTTACTTATGCCACTGACTTGCAGGAAAATTTGCTCTAATTATAGAGTCACACCCATTACTCCCAAAATGGATGGGCATGGAATTGCAATACTTAAGTTTTCAAAGAACCAAAGGATGCTGTCACAGACAGCGTCTCTCCACTGACCCTTTAGTTAAGAAGTCATCTTGTTACCGTCCACTTAATAGCTGGAGAGGGCATGGAGAGGCAGCCTTGGGCTTCCCAAAGACACAGTAGGCGTGTGTATGTGCTTGTATGTTAGGAGGGGAGGAAGAGAGGGAAGAAGAGAGAGGGGGAAGAGAGAGAAAGAAAGAGAGAGAGAGAGAGAGAGAGAGAGAGAGAGAGAGAGAGATTGTGGATGTGTGTGTACATCAGATAACTCGATGGGAAAGCCTAGACCTTGTAGTCAATTTCTCCTTCACAAGGGGATAAACAGGCAATTACGCATCCTTTTATATTTGATGGCCAAGTGCTGAACTGGAAAGCACACTATTAGTTTGTGTCCCTTCAGGGCCAGGGCAATAAGTAGCCAGGAGAGCTGGGCTGAAGCAGAGAGGGTGTTGTCTGCTGTTAGTGTGACAGTCTTGTCAGCGGCGTTCACATTACTGGAAGGTAATAAAGTGACAAGTACGTTATTAGAAAGATATGAGGTGAAATTGAACTGAAGCTTCTTGCTGCTCAGTCCTGGCTTTTTTCTTTCGTCTTTTGTAATGGTCCACTATTTGTTACAAACTGAGCCCTGTCTTCATACCCCATATAAAAAAGATTTTTTTTCCCTGCAGTAAAGGTCAAATGAATTTACAACAACACTTTAGAGGAAAAGAATAAAGATAGTTTTATGACAACTATAGTATGTTGCTTCAAAAATATATATAGCATTATAATGAACAATAATGCTGATCCAATTCAGTGTACTTGTAAAAATGCTTTTTTTTAAACCTTCTGTTATTAAGCATTTGGATTTTTCAACAAATGCCAAAAAGACAGTATTTGACATACAGTTATTGCCAAATGACCACAAAAATCATTTTGTGCAAGATGTGGGAAGGATGAGGATGATGAAACCACACAAGGACGGATGGGTGTGTGAGTAACAGCGGTAGGAGGTAACTCACTGGTCAGCTGTACAGCTGGATTCACATAATACTGTTTGAAAATGACCATTTATGGTGAGCAACACTCCAGCTAAAGGAAATACGGGACCCGTCTGGGACAGACCAAACATGACCTTAGTACTAACGCAAGCAAGACCATCACATGTGGTTTACCTCTGAGGGAAAACATGAAAAGTTGCTTATGTACCTCACAGAACGGTGAATGAGCTCCCATTTTGCTCAAGGTCTTCAGCCTAGTACTAATGACAATCACAGCTTTGTTGTGTCGCTACAGCGGCCAGCAGGAGCAATGATCAAGAAAGGGATGGTCTAAGCTGGTGTCACTTGCACCTACTCCTCCGTTTGGATCAAAACGGGGTTTTACCACTGGCTTTTTCTATAGCCCAGCTGACCCCTGGCATCTTTTGCTTCGCAGGGGATTCCAGCAAGTGTTTCCTACTCAAAAACAAAGCAAACGCAACCAAAACCTGACAACTGTTTGCTCTTTCTGACCCCAAAGGAACTTCAGCTATTCCACGCAGCTCCTTGCTTTCCTAATCCCTTCCTCAGCGCTGACTCACCTGGTCACGGGAACTCTGCAGGGCGCTAACATCAATAGTCCTTCCTCTCCAGCAAACACTTCAGTGCATTAGCGATTTCCTTTTCTAACTACCCTCTACTTAGTTCTGATGAAGACACTGTGATATTTTTTGGTACCTCTTACTGCCTATCTTATTCATTTAGATTCATCCCCCAAAAATAGACAATGCGAGGGAAAAGCAAAACTACCTAAGTATTTCGAGTTTTGCGGAAGTGATTCTCAAAAATTAGTTTGTTATAATGTATAAACAGAAGTTCTTAAGAAAAGGGTGTAACCACAAGATGAAAGTTTCTTCTGGATGATTTGTTTCTTGATGATAGCAGGTGTAGCATGTCTTATGACAGCTGAATTTTATTTACTGTTAGTCAATCTAACCCAATACTAACAGACCAGATACAACTTAGGACTGCTCAGGTCAACTTGTCAGCAGTTAGCAGCATGTCTGTCTCAATCTGGTGACTAGCTTACGTTTTCATTGTCAACAGCCCTCATTCTCATTTGCTTGGCATACACCTGGGGTGTGTACAGAGAAAGGGGGAAAAAAAGGTCACTCTGTATTTGTGGGAACCTCGTGCATAGCTTCTCCTCAGTAAAATGAGGAGACTGCCTCTGGAACAGCCCATTCTTGATATATTCAGACTTCCCCCCCGCCCCCCACCTTAGAGCAATGTATGCTAATGAAGCTGTTAACCAGTTAAGTGCCTTTCTTCTCTTACTGGAAAGGCCTGGAAATTCATGACTAAAGAAGTAACACTATGAGTACAGTGGCACCATTGTGCCAAAAAGGTTTCAAAAATGTTTGCCATGTTGAAAAGGGAAACACCTTCAAACCTTTAAAAGGCAACAGGCTGAACAGGGCAGCTGGCTAAGATCTGGAATGAGTTACATTGTGTTGACTTATTTAAATACAATTAATACCAGAACAAAGAATGCCAAGGATTTTTATCACACATTTAAACCAAATTACTTATTATCTATCCTTTTCCTTGCCTTCTTTCCATAGCATGCAGATATTCCCGAAAGCAGACTAAACCTGTTATTTACAAAAACATAGTTTTATATGATCAAGACAGTAAGTTTCAACATCAGCTAGAGAACATGCACAGTAATACCAGCCAACTTTGTACCTGTGATAAACTCTGGCTAAAACCAATCACACAGAAAGAAGCTTGTTTGATGAAAATCTACATCACTATTAATTTTCAGCCAGCACAGAATGGATGTGGCTTGGGAGGAACTGTTTTAACAACAGGAAAGTCCTGTGAAAAAATGCATGAGTAGGAATAGGCAAAGATGAAGAGCTCAATGACTAAAATGCTGATCTCTTTATCCTTCCTGTTTGCAAGTAAGCCGTGGGATCACCATCTTAACTAGAATTCTAGTTAAGCCCAAATGCTACAGTCGAGAACAAGGAAAACTTTAGGAACCGAAGAGTTGTACATTTTATGATTTTCCATTGCATGTACTACATCCATCCACTGCCCCATCCCTTTTAAGCAAATAGGCTTTATACTGGAAAATGTTATTTACTCATTTAGAAGGCCACCGTAACAACTGGGCACTTGAGGCACAAAAGTAGTAGCAAATAGGGGAGACACTTCAAAAGTGTCAGCTGTCCAGGACTTACTGCCATTTCTCTGACAAAACACAAGTGAACATATTCATGTTTCCAAGCCAGGGAAACTACTAGAATCTCATTACTTCTGGACTTAACTGGCTATACACATTAACTTAGTTTGCAGCAAGTAACAAACATTTGATCTAAGCCTGGTTCATTTGCTGATGTGACCTGCTAACAGCTATATAATTCACTCAGGAGAGCTATCTGACCTTTTATTTGACATTAAACAGACTAAACATTGCTTTTGTACAAGATGAGTTCTAATAACTCAACCAAGTATAACTTTTCAAAGTTGCTGAAATAAAAACGTGTATTTGTTTTCATAAAGCTACATGTAGTCTATGCACGTTGCAAAAGCCAGAGTTTCTATGTTTTGTTGGGATACTAAAAATATTTTCCCACCCATTTTGAATCTAATCATTTGGTAATGGGGCAACAGCAAAATACAGAGAACGCCGAGAGGACCAAAATGTTTGCAAACAAACTTTCATTATTCTAGTTCAATCTTTCACAAACATACTGTACAGAGTCTTAAATGGTATAAAACAAAGGAAAACATCTCTGTCTATTCAATTTAACATAACACCAAAATAAAGCAGTTAAGACTTTGGGGAATTCAAAGGTACAAGAAAACAAAAACAGTTATTACTAATTCCTCAGCTTTTACCATAAACACTTGTTATTTAACACAGTGTTTGATATAGTTTCTTTTGTACTGCAAATACTTTTGGTCTTTCCTCCCTGTGGAACAAATGAAGAATTCAAATGAACTCCATGGCATCCTCTGAAAGAGGTGAAAAGATAAAGCTCCTAGACACAGCTAGCTTATCTTTAAGAATCTATTGTTTCTGAAATTTTCACAAATAAAAATACTGAATCCCCAACTAATGATACTTATTTTGGGAAACAATAAATACTGTGAGGTACAATAAATCCTACAGGAATAATAATAACAACAGAAACATATTAACAGTTTCCTTTGGCAAATTTAACGGAAGTGAATGCTGATGTGAACATAGAAAAAATAATTACAAAAACATATGAAAAATGGAAACAACATAAGTTAAAACGAAGGGGTATTTCTAACTTTTAGACTGATGAAATGTCTGAGGCCATTCAATGCAAGAAAAGAAATACATTCTCTTTAAATTATTGTGTATTGTTTGACAAAATATTCCTTGTTTATTTATCTCTTCTTTTCCCCTCCACTTAAAAAAAAAAAAAAAAAAAGACAACAAAACAGTCTGCAATGCACACCCTAATGGTTTTGGCTGCATACTGAACTTGAGTAAATATCATCATTTAGTCAGTATGTTGTGGTAGCTGAGGCTGCCGATGTGGTTAACCAGCTCAGGCAACATGTGTAAACATCGGAAACAAAACAAAACAAAAAAGGTTTGGAGAATAGTCTCTCCCCTCTCTCTCACTCTCGATTGCTTGGTTTCAGGCTTGCTTTCATTTCTCTCTGACAAATCGTGTGGGGAAACACAAAACACTCAACAGTGAGACATCCTGCTTTAAAACCCCCTTCTTCTGGCTTTTCAGAAAGGAGTGTTGCTCAATTCAAGTTTAGCACATGTTTTCAAAGCTTCCAAGTACTGCTGCTGCTAAACGCCTTTTGATTTTGTCTATCAAACAGGCCTGAATTACGGTAGGACTGCAGAAATTTGCAACAAATTAGACAGCCATACAACAGGCCGACTCAGTTCAGGGGATTTCTTTTTAAAGGATAAGGGTTAGGGCCTTGGAAATGAGTGTTCAACTCTTTTACTGTATTCATTTTTGTTCCGTAGTGGGTAATTTGGGCTTTTGTATCTTGAAATATTATCCTGACTCTTAAGAATAAATGCCTTGGCTGTTTCACACCACATAATTTTGTTTTCCTTTTATGTAACTTAACATATAAGCAAGAAGGATGCAATGTTGATTCTAATAACATTCGGCACTTGAAAGAATCACCAAGTGTTTTTTTAAAAAGCGGTTTTTGGTGGCCAACAAATTGGCCTGTGGTTATGTTGAGTGACTAATTGTATTTTCTTTTCTGGAAACTTGTGCAAAGTTGGCAGTTCTGTGTTAACACTAATACTTTTGTTTGGCATTTGTGCCCTATACTGACCAGACCATTTTTATACAAGTGAAGTTTTTTTAAAAAAGACACTTACTGAAGTATGGCAATAGTTTAAGGATAAAAAAAGAAGCATGGATATTACACATCCCCTTGTAGTGTATGAAAAAAAGTGCATGACGGGATTTATGTACTAGTACGGGACATTTTTAAAAATCAGATCTGTGCTGTAAAGCATGCCAGCACCTCTTTACCACTATTATCTAACAGGTAGTAAAAACAAGACCATGTTTTTTTTTGTTTGTTTTGTTTTTTTAAAAATGTGCATTAATGCTAACATAAATGAATAGAGCTAGCCAGCAAACTATTTTTTTCCTGCATATCTAACAGCTGGATGTAACTGTAAAAATTAAACAAAAGTTAAACAACCATCAATACAATTGTTTTACATCAATGGCCCCTCAAGGCTAAATATTTACAGGTGAATCTGCCATGCTTAAATTGAGGATTCTTTCAAAACCTTAAAGTTCACAAAAGACAACTGTAAGAAGGTCCTTTTCATTTCTTTTTTCTTTTTTTTCCCTTTTATTTTTGCAGGCGACAGTCATGGGTACAACAAATTGTCTCTCTGGGGAAGACCAAGAATTATTCTGTCAAAACTGGGGCTAGTTGCACACTCTGTGTGTGTGTGTGTGTGTGTGTGTTTAAAGGGGTACTCTGCTTTCACCCTCAAATCAAAGATCCCTCACCTTCCCCAAAACCATAAAGGAAAAGTAAAAAAAATTCAAAAGCACCTAGTGTTTATCTTATTTATCTCAAGGAAATATGTGTGTGTTTACGTAGCCACAGAGCATATATAAATGCGCGCGCGCGCGCACACACACACACACACACACACACACACACACACACAGGCACACACCCCGAGGACATAAGCGCACACTGACTATGGCAGTTCAAACACGTAGGCCATCTGGTGAGAGCTGGCATTTGTAGTGTCCATTCTGAGACTAATCTACTGAAGTGAAGGGAATGTTTTTGTGGAGATTAGGGTTCTGACTGTGCCGATTTCGGCTTCGTACAGAGGAAAACATCATATTGCAACCTGGGACTTTGCACTTGTGCATTTCTCGCAAATGCACAGTTTTGTAGTGCACTCTCAGGGTCCCCTTGTTGCTGTACATTTTGTGGCAAATGTTGCACATGATCCCACCATTGCTCCCAGACAAGCTGCTGAACATAAGAGATCCCGAAACTTCAGCTCCTAGGCTGCCAGGGAGGGCAGGGGCCTCGGCCTTGTGTGCCGACTCCCCACTGTCACTCGCCCCATCAATGTCATCGAGAAGAATCCCCTCGTCACTGCCTGCATCAGATTCTCTGGAGGAATGGATGCTGCTGCTGGACTGGAGGCTAGAGGTGGTGCTCAAGTCAAGGACCATGTAGTCCTCCGCCATGCCTCTCCCATACCCGTTCAGGTGGGAGTCTTCAGTCCCTGCGGGAGAGGAGGCGTCTTCCCTGACATCGAGCCCCAGAGGGTGCTGGGCACCATAGATCTTCGCCAAAAATTCATCGCGGAGGTCCTTGCTAAGGGAGGGCTGCGACGAGTCCAGGCCCATGTCATCGAGTTCTTTGGTCAACAGTTTACGATGTAGGTTTATGTTGGCACTGTGTCTAGGAAAGTAAGAGGGAAGGGGGGGGGGTAGGTGAATAGGGCGTGGGGAGGGGTGAGAAAAAGGAGAGCATTTTAAAATTGATTCAGCTTTCACAAGGTATCAAATAAGCACATTCACTGCTAATTACGCCATTATAAAAGCAAGCATTCCCCTATATCCTCAGGATCTGGGAGTTAGTGGTGGTGGTGGGAGGTGCAATCAGGGGAACTTGCCATTAACATAATCTTTATAAGAGAGTAAAATCTATCAATTGTAGGATGAATGCAAACCCATGCACCTTTTTCTCAATGACTTCTCTGTTAGTTTTACTATGTAGCAGCATGAGCTGCATAGAATCTCATGACAGAGATTTTGGAATATATATTAAATAGAATAAGAGAACAGAAACTTTCTGCTTGTCTAAATGGGATAGTCTAAATTTACCTAGAAACAACAAAAATAAATATATTTTCTATACAGAACACTGTATTTTGAGGTATAGAAATAATTCATTTTTTAAAAAGTAAATAGTCTAGATAATTTAGATATAACTTCAAAAAATAATGATATCTTCCTTCTCAACTCTCTATATTTCAAGTTTTAAGGAAAAACAATAGCTAAACAGATTAAACAATTTGAAATAGGGTTACAGACTGTCTTTAACAACACAAATGCCTTTTCTCAGAATCATTTAAGAATCCAGTTAAATCTAATAATAAAATACATTTACTTTTTAGAAGTATCTGCATTTTAGAATCAAAAATGTTTGAGTAATTCTACTTTAAAATTTAATTAAGACAAAAACTGAAAAACAGAAACTTTTTAAAAAATAAAGCCCACCCACCTTTATATATATATATATAAAAAGTCATAGTAAACAACAAGAAAAAACCCAAAGGTACAAAAATTAAAACACAGTAAGTACAAAAAAAAAATCAAGCACAACAGTAACATAGGTTTCCTCGATTTTAACAACTGAAACCCCTACTTTACTTAGACAAGCAAAACTTTTATTCTACTCATTGAGTGCTTTGCTTGTGTGTGTGTGTGTGTGTGTGTGTGTGTGTATATATATATATATATATATATATTAAAAAGACAGGATTTGTCCCAGAGAATCCGTTGGGACATTGTGATTTACAAAGCCTGATATGTTATCATCTATCTGAAATCATTGCCTTTGTATTTATATCCCCCATTTATTTTTAAAGTGCCCTTGGGCATATACCTCTCTCCACCTGCAAAGGCTCGCATGTTCAACAGTACCTAAATTGAAGGTTACCCTTCCAAAAAATAAATTACTGTATCTATAGATAAATAAAAGCTTCTCAATACTGGCGGAAGCTCTACATCTTGGAGAAGTAATTGTGATAAAAGAAATGACCTAAATGGCTGATATAAAGTTCAACAGACCTCCCGATTATAATTAAAAGTATGGAAGACCAAAATACATCATTCCATTTGGTGACAAACACGGCTGATATTTCTTAAGAGATGGTTGAGAGGTATGTGCCTCAGAGACAAGAAAGGTGGGGAAGACTTCTCCACCTTTCCACACAAGACAATATACAGCACTCTGGGTTTTAAGGGGCAGAAGGCAGCAGCCCTCTCCAACTGCACTTAGGAAGGCTGAGCTTACCTTGTGACAATAAGATCAGCTTTCTAATCTTTTGCTAAATCGATCACAAAAGAAAGCAAGAATGAGAGACAGAGAGAGAGAGAGAGAGAAAGAGAGAGAAAGAGAGAGAGAAAACAAATTCACATTCTAGACATCTGGTTTTGAAAAACTTAAACAATAAAATAGGGATTTAAAACATCTGATCACAAAATTATTTTCTGTCATAAGCGATCATCCCATATGCTGTCTTGATGATTTTCAGATCAGCTGTATAATCCAAAAATCATAAATCAAATTAAAATAAACCAAATTCACAGCATCATCACCATCATCCACAAATGAGTTCTAAACAGATGCATGCAGTGTGTGGTTATGTAAATGATAAACAGAAGTTGTCCTCACGGTCCCTGCTCTGACACAGTAATTCCCCGTTCCCTTGGCGTCAGATGGCAGATGACTCCAAGTGCAGGTTGCTAAGCAAAGTGCAGGAAATGCCTACTGTGAGGTCTTTACTCTGACATGTGGGTACAACGCCACCAGAGTTATTACAAGAATGTGGAAGTAGAGCTATGCTATGCGCTATTATTCTATTGATAAAACAATCTGCCAAGTATAAGCAGCTCACGAAATCCAACCCCTCTGTTTATTATTTTTAACACCTCCCCTTTTCTTAATTTCACGAGCACACATTTTGCAGTGAGTGTAATCTAGAACTCTGTTGCGTCTCACACACCTGCAGCTACCACTTCCTAGGTTCATTGCTGAGAAAATAGCAGCCAGACACACAGCAGTCACATCAAGACACACTGAATAAGGAAGAATAAATTAACATTGAGAAAAGGACACACTGATCACCCAGATGGACACATCTTCCCTTAGATGACTTGTGAAATTACACATCTCCACCAATATGTTACCAGGAAGAGATTGTCTCTTCTTTTCTCACTTACAGCAGTAGAAATCTGTAATCTAATTAGATGATGTACCAGCCCTCAATATCTGTCAACCAAACGATGTGCAGAAATGTGTAGACCAGCTCTGGCACTCTGTTCAACAGTGTCCCTTTTCCGCTGTCAGCAGTACTGTTGGCCTCTGCTAATATAATTACACTGACTTTTATTCAATTAAGTGCCATCCCTCGCTTTAAAAAAAAAGCTACTTTATCAATTGATTCAGGTGTAATACAATAATAAAGATGAACTCATGGCTGTGCATTAGCTCTGCTCTTCATAACTTCAGTACACGGGTTCATTCATGATAGTCGATTTCCATTATGCAACCACAGTTCAAGAGAATTGATTCTTTTATGTTCAATTCTTAATCTATTTCATTTTTGTTTAATAATCCTCCTAAATGCCATATGCAAAACACTTGAAGTGGAGATAGGAATGATGGACTGAGGAAAGTCTGCGGGTTCACTCTCATGATAGTGGGCTTGAAGATTTTCTCACAGACTCACACAATATTCCTAAGATGTCAGGAAGGAAAGCAGAAGGAAAGCAGACTAAAATTCTTTTGAGAGTACTGATTCTGCCCCATGAGAGGTTAGGGTTCAGTCTCCGTAGAATGGACAAAAGACAGTACTTGATTTTAACAAAGACCTATTGTTGGACTGTTGAATCAGTCAATCCAGACCATTAGCTGTCATAAAATACTGTCCTCATGAGACACAAAGACCTAGGGTTAATAGCAATTTGAGGAATACTACAAGTTTATCTGGATCAGCAAAACTGAAGAGGTGAAAAGAAAGGGAAGATGGAAGAGACACAGAAAGAACTCTCACCTACTGATAATCAGATGTAGAGAGAAGACCCTAAATTGGGAGGAAGGCCACAGAGTGCTAGAAACAGGAGGAGGACTACCTGGTAGAGGAAGCCATACTCTGTTCTATGTAACAACTGGAACAAAGAATCCAAGGAGTAACCAGTTTTGAATTCTCCCAAGATAGATAGAGATGGTTTTTCTAGAAACAGATTAATGTTCTGAATATTTATCTCTAGGAAAGAGGGAAGAATAATCAAAACTAGACTGTATTAAAATTTCTATATTCTATAAGAACATAAACAGTAGAAGGCTTGTTTCTACTTGCTTTGATTTGGAAGGCAATAAATATATATAGAAGGAAATTCCTCTTACAGGAAAAAAAAATGACTGGAATGGAGACAGAAAATGAGTTCACAGGTAGAAGGGGTAAGGATTTGGTCTCAATAACTGCAGTGGTACTCATTAAGCAGTGCTCCAAACCTGAGCCCCAGATGGTCACTTTCAAGAAGAACATAGCTAAATCTTATTCAATCTTATGTGTCCTGCAGGTAAAGTAGAATACTCTGCACAGAGGATGTACTTAAAAGTACATTTGTTTCCCTTCCATCAATAATATGCATGAGTCTTCAAGAAGCATTTTCCCAAAATACACTGTAGAAGGAAGAAAACAATGATCCCAATGTAGGACTCAGTAACACAATATCCAAGAAAAGGCGGTAGTGACACAACAAAGGGTAACTGTGACGCTATTAATACCCTGGTGTGTTATAAGGGAATGCCACAAAATTAGGGCATGAAAAAGCCCTGTAATTTGGGCTATGCTTGGAATTACAAATGCTTCCTTTAAACCTCTGTACTCTTTCTATAATGTGAATTTACCAAAAGCCTCTTAAAGACCAAGATCACCCTTAAAAGCAGAAAGTTATAAAGCCTTGGACTGAGGGGAGGGTGCTGCAGAACCAAACTTCTTTCTTCTGTGAAATGGTGAGTGGCAGTACTCTAACTGAACTGAAGTGGACGACCAGTCTTTATCTGCTCCTTTGATGAACACTTTACCATGCAACCACAGAAGACGCAAAATCCATCCAGTGTAGTCGGGTAAGTGCCAGTGCCCTTTAGAGAGAAAGCAAGTCTCGCCTGGGCCTTCTCCTTCCTCATGCCTCCCTTTCCCACTTGTCCAAATGCCCAGTTAGACTTAATGTGATGTCCAGCCAATAAAAATTAAAACTGAAAACAAACACACTATCTTAAAAAAGTGTTTTGAGGTTTTAAACTTGGCTTTAAGATACAGGGAAGGAGCTTTAAAACAAACAACAAAGAAACAAGTTGCATGACGAAATCAGAAAATAAGACTGTGGCAGTCAGAGACTGAATAATGATTCATGGTATAGGTTGCATGAAGTGCCCAACTTATAACTCTTAATTCTTAATCAGATTTGAGCCATTCTGAACTTAGTGAATCGAAAAAAACACTTGATAATTAATTAGAATTCCTCAAGTGAAAAATAATTGAGGTCCCATTTTTTTTTTTTTTAAGTTTTTGCCTTTATTTTACAGCTCAATTCTGCCATTAAACACACATTCCCAAATTCTCAAATGATACTGTACAGGATGATCATAATGACAGAGCAGATACC